CATCCCCAGCCTTCCCCAGCCAGCTTCTGGCCAAGTTAAAAGACATATTTACTGTGTATCAATTGGCAGCTAGATAGAAATGAGCAGTTTCTGTGTGAACAGTGGGAAGGGTTCCAGCACCTATTTGACCCACATCTAGTAACATTGGACCCCCAAGTGGGCCGTTATAGAGCTGTACAGTGTACACAGATGTTATATCTGCCCCTGGACTTGACCTTCTAAGCTGATGGATAAATCTAACAGTCGGTCAAACCTGTTACAGCTGCATGTCAAAGCTTGTCAGATGAGTATAAAGAACTTCCTGTCCCAGTGACACCCTGTCAAACCTTGACACACAGTGTATCACTGCTATGGGTATTGAGGGAAAATCATCCCAACTGGGGGTACAGACAAGAGCAATAACATTTCAGAGGTGGTTCGGTTCTCTCCCTTCTCTGCTCTACAAAATGTGCTTCTTACAGCTCTTTGGGTCTCTCTTATCTAATCCCATTTAGGGCCCATTTACACTATGTGCTGTGGTAATGTGCATTGGGGTGAAGTGGTGCCATTCATTCTAAAAGGCACCCTAAGACACCTTCTGAGGGACATGTGGTGCAGCAGAGCACAACATGCAGTACTGCACTAACATGTGTTGTAGTGCACTGCCAAAAGATGGTGCACGCACAATATCTTGGTAGTGTACTGCGCATCCGTCAGCAAGGTGCATTGTTGTTTTACTATTTAAATGAATGGCACTGCATTGCAACACCGCAAGTAACGTGCGTTTCCATGTGTTGCAATAAAGCACACAGTACCGCACACATTACTGGAAAGACCCCCTGAGACCCGAGTTTTGCCTTGCCTAGGGCAGCCCCAAACCAGAATACACCACTGAGGGTAGCCCATTGAAATAATTGGGCTGCCAACTCACCCTAATGTGCAGAAAATCAGACGTGACCAGTGGTGTAACTATAGCCATAGCAGCCCAGGTGGCTGCTATGGAGACTGGGGTGGAAGGGGGGTCCATTAGCTTGTTGAGGCAAATTAAACATAGAACAAGAGACAGTAATACAATACTGTATCATTAAGGGTTGGAGTGGTTGCAGTTGATGATAACTCTACTCTTCTGTAAAGTCTACAGTGTAGAGACAACTTCAGAAGCACAAGAGGGGTCTCTGCAATCTTGGCATCAGAAAGGTGCCCATACACCTTGCGATTATCGCACGATTATTTTCGTATGATGATCGAACAATCCAAAAATTCTGATGCATCTGAATTTTCAGTACCACAAAATTTGTATCTTTTGAATTTGTTATTTTTTTCAATTCAGAAATATACGTCTTAATTTCAATTCAGAACTTAAGAAATCGTACATGTCTTGTGCCGAGGTATTCCAGTCAAGAGACTGTACAGCAGAGGTAGTGTACAGCCTGTTCTGCCTTTATAACTGGCAGAGATCACATGACCAGTGCCGGGGTATTGACCACATGACCAGGGGCGTCCCGAGGCCGGGTGTACCCGGAGTGGTTACCGGGTGATACCTCGCCGTGACATCATCGCACATGCGTGATGACGTCATCATGCATGCTATCTTATTGATACCTGCTGGCGGCCATCTTGGTGATGGATGCCGACAGAGAGAGGAGGGGACAGTCACCTGGCGGGATAAGGTATACCGTCGGGTCCCCTCCTCTCACCCGAAACTGTCGGGCTCTCGGTCCATGACCGAGTGCCTGACTTTTCAGAGAGGGTGACACCAAAATGACTGTCAGTCATTTTGGTGTCACCCCTCCAATGGTGTCTCCCGGGTGCGGGCCGCACCCCCCTTGTGACGCCACTGCACATGACCAAGCCTGAAGGGATGTAGAATTACCCTTATCATTATAGAGTCATGAGATAATACAAGCTGAATTGTTAACAGCAAAGTATTTCGTGAAAATGGGGCTTGAAAAGAAAACAAACAACACTAAACATTCCTGACTGTGTTGCATGCGAGCAGTCTGCTGTGTCCGCTGTGTTTGTTTTACCCCATGGTCAGCACCTTGTGAACAGGCATTATGCTGGGCTATTAGTAGCTTTAGCAAGTAATTAGGATCAGCAGCTGCATGTGTGCTGGGGGTAATGCTGGGGGCAGAGGCTAGCAGCCCCTGGTGAAGGGTGTCACCAGGCCACCACAGAGGATGTGCTATGATGACATGGAAGGCTGACACATATTCCTTGCACAGGAGACGTTCTGCAGATCACATATATCTGTAACAGTTTATAAAATTCCTGGATACATGGATTGCATGAGATGAATTCCCGGGTTTATAGAATACTACAAAGGTGCCCACACACCGTGTATTGCGGTAATCGGAAGCCCGCACCTCAGGGGGGCGTGGCCTGCGATCATCGCAAGTACGACCTGCCTGTCTAAGATGGGCAGATCGTACGTTTTTTTAAATTACTTTACAACCATGGTTGTAAGGTGTGTGCCCAGCCTAAGGGTAACCCGGACTATATGAGTATGCAGGCTTCCACTACTGATCTCACCTCCTTAGAATACTTTGTGCATGGCTGTTATACAGATCAGAGTCATTTACCCAAAGTTTGTGAATTAGGAGTTCTGACTTTACTCCAACATTCCTGTTCTCCATGTTTGGTTTTAATAAGTGATTAAGAAAGCACTTCATCAACTTGATGAGAAGCTAGCATTGCGAGGAGGAGTCCAGCATGGCGGCCTCCATATTTACAGGTTTAGTTTAATCCTGCACTGAGAGCGATATGTAAGCTGTCATTGCTTATCTTCTTCTGAAAATGCTAGTTGCCTGGCTGTCATGCTGCTGTATTGGTTTTAATACTTTCCGAGTCATTGTCTCAGAAAAAACCATGAAGAATCAGGAGTTCTAACTACCCACCTCCAGGCAGATTCTGAAACCCCATCCCTCTCAGCCACCCTACTTTCCCACATTCACAATAACCCTTCCATAGCAGCTCTTTTTAACTTACCTGAGTCTGCGATCACATGACTGTCCTTGGTGCCTTTTCTGGGAGTGGAGACTGGTGGTCCGCTGCTTTAGTCCAGGCCCACTACCAACCATCGTGACATCATTATGCCAATGCTGGAGTCTTCAGGACCCTGTTACGTTGTCACTGATGGACAGCCAATAGGAGGTAGCCACATCACCAGGTGGCAACATAAAAACCTGTAGAGGGACCTTCAGGACTCAGGACCCGGCATGTCACATGAGCACTTATTTAGCTAAGAATTTTGGCCATTTACTTTAGTTATTTTTCTAAATCTTATTATTAGTTAGAGGGGTCGGGTTGGGATAAAGTTTAGTGGTGAGGGGGGTCTCTGGCCAGAGTTCAGCTTCAATGCATGTTCTGGGTAAGTAACTCAATCAGGTAATTAGCATTATCAAAAGGTGATCAGCAATGGCAGCCCACATACATCTCTCTAAAATGTAATCTATCTTCACAAGTTCAATTCAAGGCTTATTGGTGAGGAATCTGGGAACAGAGCTAAACTCCTAGCTGGGCAGCAAGGTGGTTTAGTGGTCAGTAATCAGTACTGTGGCTTTGTTGTGTTTACAGTACTGACTTACATTCCCACCATGGTCTAGAGCTTCCTAGAGTTTGTGTGTTTTCTCTGGTGGTTACAGTTTCCTCCCCAAAATATATC